AAGGAACGAAGGAAGTAAGGAAGAGAGGAAGGAAAGAAGTAAGGAAGGAAGGAAGGAAGGAAGGAAGGGAAAGAAAGGAAAGAAAAAGAAAGAAAGAAGAAAGAAAGAAAGAAAGAAAGAAAGAAAGAAAGAAAGAAAGAAAGAAAGAAAGAAAGACCTGTGCTGCAGTGATATTGTCAATAAATATTTCCAAAAGCCGGGGAATCCAGAAACAAAATTTTTTTTACGGCCTTTGCTTCCCAGATACACATGACAGCAGCTTTTGCAGTGAGCAGACAGGCTGGGCCCATAAGGGTCTCAATCTGGGGTTAAAAGAGGAGGTTTTCATTGAGTTCCCAGGGCCCTAGCTGCTGCAGAGACTTTGTCTCCACTGTGGCAAAGCCCATTCCCTTCAGTGGCCTTTTTCCAAGCCCCTGCAAACCCCACAGGCACCTTTCCCCTTGTTCATTTTCCTTTCCCGCTCCTGGTCAGCTCCTGCAGGGGAATGTACACTAGCTGACTTGAGGATAATCAGGGCTGCCATTTTCCCAGGTGATCCACACTCCAACTAGCTGAGCCCTCCCCATAGAACTTGTGCAGGCTCCACCTGCAGAATGAACTCAGCACCTCCACACTACCGCCCTGGTCCAAGCTCCATCTTTCCTCACCTGAATGACTATGGTAAGTTCCCCACTGGGCTGCCTGCTGCTGCCCCTGTCTGTGGTGGCAGACTGACTGATGCCTTTGATGTGAAAGTCAGCAGAGGACACAAGCTCCATGGGTTCCCCATGTGTCTGCAAGTCAAATCCAAATCCCTTCCTGACCCAGGGACCGGCTTCTACTTTTCCCCCTTGCACTGTGGTCCACGCCCACCAGGCTCCTCGAATTTCCACAAACATGGTGTTCCTGCCTGAGGGCCTTTGCACTTCCTGGACTTCTCTTTAAATATCCACATGACCTATACTCTCTTCAAGTCTGTTCAAATGTCACCCACTTAGTGGATCTGAGCTGATCACAGTGTTTAAGATTCAGGCCTTCCTTCAATTCTCCTGTTGCTTCTTTCTTAAAACACCAGCATCATCCAGGTGTGGATGCTCATGTTGTAATCCCAGCACTTGGGAGTCTCAGACCAGCTGGGACTACCTGTCTCAAAACAAAACAGCAATAACTCAGCATCTAACTATGCCTTTGATTGTTTGTTATGTTTACTGCTCATCTCTCCTCGAAAAGACAGCGTGTCTGGGCTCAGCACTGAGAGTAGACTGTAGCGTGGCATAGGTGAATAATAAATGTTTATTGGCTGGATGGATGGGTGGATGGATGGATGAATAAGTAGGCAGATTTATGGATGGTAAGTGAATAGATAGATGGATGGATGGATGAGTGGAATGATGTATAGATGTACTCCTGTAAAGTACATCCTATAATCAATCCTTTATTATACAGAAGGAAACTCAGAGGGGCTAGGTAGCTTTTACAAGATAAGTTAGTTATTGACATAGTTGAAACTTCAACTCAGGTCCTACAGACCCAAAACAACCAAACTCCTAAGTTTACTGATAGTAAATTAAACTCACCATAAGATATGCTGTTTTTCACAGTCTACCCTTCAGCAAAAGCTTGTTTCAGAGCGCCAGTACACCTGGTCTGCGCTTGCCCCATCAGGATTAGAGCTCACTGTGTTTGGATTAGTCAGAACCTGAGGCTCCTACAGTGTAATAGATGGGGAAACATTCATGAGAAACCTAGAATTAATCACCTAATTAACATATTTTGATTAACAGTTCCCCCAAGTGCTCATGCCTTAGAAATATTTGAAATATTCTACAAGAAGTGGATCTCAACAGATGATTTTTATTATTATTATTTTGGTCTTTTTGAGACAGGGTCTCCCTGCTCCCTATATCCCAAGCTGGCCTGGATCTCACTATGTAGACCAGGCTAGCCTTGAACTCACAGAGTTCCTCCTGCCTCTGCCTCTGCCTCCCAAGTGCTGGGATTAAAGGCATGTGCCACCATGCCCAGCTAACAGATTATTTTTTTAAGTACAGATAAGAAATTGCGTAGTAATTCTCTCTACCTGTACATGAACTGCCTCTATTCAAGAGACAAAACAGAAAAGCTCAAGGAAGTTTTCCTCCTCACAGGACAGCCAGCAGTCCAGCCTTCTGGGCTTTGAAATACTAATCTTAGCCAAACGTGGTGGCACAATCCTGTAATTCCCAGCACTGAGGCAGGAAGATGGCAAGTTCAAGGCCAACCTGGGCTCTATAATGTTTGAAACCATTCCTCTGGTATATAGTAAGATTCTGCCTCAAAAGAATTATTTTGTTTTCTTTTTTGGTTGTTGTTGTTTTGAGACAGGGCCTCACTCTGCATCTCTAGCTGGCCTGGAACTAGCTATGTAGACCAGGCTGGCCTCAAACTCAGAGATCTGCCTGCCTCTGCCTCCCAAGTGCTGGGATTAAAGGTGTGCATGACCATGCCCAGCTAAAAAAACATGTAATTTCTGTACAGCCCTCATAGTTTCACATATATCTACCCCCAAAGAATTTAACAAGTGTTTCAACAAAATATGTAGGAATGCTGGTAAGCAGCATCATTCATAAGATCTAAAGGATGACATTCACAATGTCCACCATCCACTGAATGAACAAACTGTGATATATCCTTATGACAGAATATTAGTTTCAGCCATAAAAAGGAATGAACCACTACACACGCTCCAACATGAATGAGTCTTGAACTCATTCTGCTCATCCGGTGTGGTCACACTTAGGAGGCAGAGGCAGATGAATCTCTGTGAGATTGAGCCCAGCCTGGTCAACACAGTGAGTTCTGGGACCATCTGGGGCCACAGGGAAACCCTGTCTTAAAACACCCGCCCCCTCCGAAAAAAAAACCAAGGACATTATGCTCAGTGAGAGAAGTTGGACACAAAAGTTCACATATATGATTCCATCTGCATTTGTGAAATGTCCATGGTGGCAGAAAGTAGGAAAGGAGCTTCCAGGAGTGAGGGGAGGAGGGGGTTAAGGACCACCTCCTTAATAGTTATGAGGTTTCTGTTGAAGGTGATGAGAATTTTCTGGAACCAGATATTGCAGATGGTTGCTCAACCTTCGTAGCACTCAGTATCTCTGAGTTGCTCATGTTGAATCGGTGCATTGTATGTTTTATGGGTTTTATTATTGTGTGGGGATGTGTGCTTGCCAGTGTGCCACAGCACACATGTGGGGATCAGAGGACAACTTTTTGGGAGTCAGTTCTTTCCTTTCTTCTACTTGGGTCCTGGGGATTGAACTGTGGTTGTCAGGCTTGCACAGCAAGTGCCTTTACCCACTAAGCCATCTCACCAGCCCTGTTTCGTGAGTTTCAATTTTTTTTTTAATGCTAGAAGGTAAATGTTTAAAGTCTGGCCACAGCACCAGGATGGTTTGATTTGGTACTGCTATAAGAGGCAGGTCAGCAAATGATGAAAGACCTTGGTGGCAACTGTTGCCTAGGAAGAGGTATCAGGCTGGGTAGCAGACTCACAAATGTGGCTAAACTGGCGATTGTAGAATTGAGGTTCCTCCTTAGTGGCCTTGGAAATATGGCATGGGGGCTGGTGAGGTGACTCAGTGAGTCAAAGAAGTTGGACTCACAGTGGAAGCAGAGAACCAGCGCCTGAAAACTGGTCCTCTGGCCTCCACACATCACAATACACTCATATACACACACTATAATCATAAATTAAGGTTAAAAGATGTCATAGAGATGAGGGGATGCTCAGTTTGTAAAGTCCTTGTCATGGAAGCATAAGAATCTTAGTTCGAGCCCCAGCACCCACATAAAAAGCCAGCATGGTAGCATGTGTCTGTAATCCCAGCTATGCAGGCACAGAGATAGGCAGATCCTTGGGGCTCACTGGCCAGTCAGCCTAGCCTAACTGGTGAGCCCCAGGTTCCAATGAGAGACCCTGTCTCAAAAAGTAAGATGGAAGGTACCCAAGGACAACACCAGAGGTTGATCTCTGTCTTCCATGCACATGAACACACAAGTGCACATACACACATACGCACAATGTTGGCATGTTGGGGCTGGGCATGTGGCTTAGTGCTAGAACACTTGTACAATGTGCCTGAGGCCCAGGGTTTTAATACCTAGCACTAAAAAGAAAAACCATAACATAACTAGCACAGTGCTATTTTGATAAACTAGAAAGGTTGTTTCTTTACCTTCCTTTTCATTGACTAAGCCATACATCCTTGCAAAAAACCTAAATAAACTGGGGTGGGGGTGCCCGCCTGTAACCCTAGCACTTGGGAGGCAGAGACAGGAGGAGCAGGAGTTCAAGATCAATCTCAGGTAGGTAGCAAGTTTGAAGTGACCCCAGGCTACATTGAGCCCTGTCTCAAAAAATTAAATAAATAAATAAAAATAGTGCCTCAAGACATGGCTCAGTGGTTAAGAGCACTGGCTACTCTTGCAGAGGACCCTGGTCCAGTTCCCAGAACCCACGATAGCTCACAATCATCCATAACACCAGTTTCTAGGAATCTGATATCCTCTTCCAGCCTCTGTAAACAACAGGCATGCACATGGTACATATACATATAAGCAGGTAGAACATATATACATAAAATAAAAATAAATCCTTTAAAAAACTATTTCTCAGCTGTACAGCTCCTACCCTGGAGATAAGACACTGACATCTACATCCTGGTGTGCATCCTTCCAGACCTTTCTCTAATCAAATATAAACATCTATCTATAAGAATATTTTTAAAGACTTATGTCCTCTGTGTGTGTGTGTGTGTGTGTGTGTATGCATGTTTGCATGTATGGAGGTCAGAGGAGAACCTGCAAGAGTTGGCTCTCTCCCTCTACCATGTGGGTCCCAGGAATTGAACCCAGGTTGTTGTCCAGCTTAGCAGCAAGCACCTTTACTCACTGAGCCATCTTGCCAGTCCACTTATTACTTTTGAAGTTTTAAGTGTTTGTATTCTTTTGCAAAATTGAATTCATGCTCTCTGTCTTGGTTTGCAGCCTGCTTTTTCCACTCAATGCCGTATCAGGGCAATCTTTCCATTCCAACACACACAGACTTATCTCGTTCTTTTTAATGGCTACAGAACATGGATATATCACCATTTACTTAACCAGCCCCTTCTTGTCAGATCATTATCTTTCCTCCAACTCTTCACGTCACAAACCAGGCTCCGAGGAACACCCTGTTCGCATATACTCCTGTCCTCATGGGAGTTTTTCTGTGGGGGATGAGAAGTGAAATTGCTGGGTTCAAATCAAACGTTTTCTGTTCTGGGGCATTTTAATAACACTTCAGTTTGGGACACAAATGTATATTGTCTCTGGCCTTCGGACAACAAAAGAGTTAGAACTGAAATGTGCTGAGCCTTTGCTTAGCTCTGGCCCCCCAGCCCTGCTTCCCTTCACCACAGCTATTTTCATTCATTTTATAGGTTCGCTTTCTCCAGGATCGACTCCAGCAGAGGGAAAAGACATCAGCCCCTCCCATGTCATTCTTCAAACATTTAGAGGAAATTGATTTTCCACATGGGCTGTGGCCAAGCGAGGGATGCGCTGGCCCAGAGTTCCTGAGACAGCCTATTACCAGGAGTGCTTGCTAGTCTCAGCCCAACTCGAGGTATATCATTAGCAAGTGTAATTTCTCATCAGGCCAGTGTTGCCCATTGCCAAAAGCAGCAGTGGCTCTGAAATAGGATTTCCCTTCTAATCCCCTTTAAAGGGAAGATCTTGTAGAAACTTGAGGTGTCTGGAGAATGATTCTATTCTCTAAGCAAGGACAAAATAAAAGTGGTCCAAGCAGCCGAAAGCCCACCTAACCTCTCAGAGCTATTCCTCTTCCTGCTGGGGATGGAAGCCTGATCTCCCACACGCACCACAGAGCTCCATCCAGCCTTCTGCTGACACCTTTTCATCCATGATTTCTCCTGGCACTAGTCAGGACACTTGTGTGCAAAGGACAAAAATGTAGGCTCCAGGTAACTTTAGTAATGGTAAATGTAGAGCTGGAGAGATGGCTCAGTGGATTGAGAACACTGACCGTTCTTGCAGAAGACCCAGGTTTGAATCCCAGCACACACATGGCAGCTAACAACATGCAAGTTTAAGCCCTGCCTGACCTACAGAGTGAGTTCAAGGAAGCCTGGGTATCTTGGTGAGACCCCATTTCAAATAAAAAGTGGAAAAAGGAGACAGGGCTTGTAACTCAGTGGTGGTATACTTGCCTGCTGTGAATAAACCCCTGGGTTCAACCCAGGACCCAAACCACAAGAACAAAACAGGTGCCAGAGTTCAGAACGGCCTGGAACTCATGATTCCTGCCTCAGTCTCCAGAGGGCTGGGATTACAGGGGTGCACCACCATGCCCAGCAATTTCTTGTTCCTCTTTGAACTTAAGACACTTGGTCTTACCATGGGTGAGGGTGTCCCCATTATAAACAAGGGCTCTGCTTTTCACTTTGAGAGACAGACTCAGTTTCATTCCCAAATGAGCTTCATGAGGGATGATTTAGCCCAGCTGTAGACTAGGGTAAGGCCTCCAAGAATTTTTAAAGCCCAATTGCGGGGGTGGGGGGGTGGTTTGGAAAAACGGCTCGGGAGTTAAGAATCATACTGCTCTTGCCTAGGATCTGAGTTCGGTTCCTAGCACCCACATCAGTTGACTCACAACCACCTGTAATTCCAGCTCCTGGGGATCTGACACCCTCTTCTGGCCTCTGCAGGTACCTTTCACATGTTCATACCCACACAGAGATACACATATACATAATTTAAAAATAAACACTAAATCTTTAAAGTTGGAGAGGTCAAGCTATAGGTAGGTTAATGGTATTAAATGTGTTTTCCATTTGTGGATTTTGTCAATTTACAATTTATTTATCTAGATATGACCCTATCATACATAAAAGAACACTGGAGTCCATTGAAAATGGTACCTGGTAAGTCCTTTCATTTGTGAAAAGGTCTCATGTAGCCCATGCTTGCCTCCAACACACTAAGAACTTCTGATTGTCCTGTGTCTACCTACCTCTTGAATGCTGGGATTACAGGCATGTCTCACCTGATTTTTATGCAATTTCCGAGAATTGAGCTCAAAGCTTAGTGCACACTTCCCAAACACTCTACCAACTGAGCTATATCTCCAACCTCTCCTGGCAAGTTCTGAAGCTGATAGAGCTTTGCTGCTGTTAATGTTATTGCCAACACTTCCTCTCTCTGAAATTCCGCTGTCCACATTGGCCTCATCTTTGCTAGATGGTTGCAGCACCACAAGGTGCCAGCCTCTGGAGGGCGCAGAAGGGTCTCTGCCAGGGGTACTTGGCAGTAGCCCACAGGTCCTTTTGTCTCATGCAACTTTATCCATCACATTGTTCAGAATGGTTCTCAAGCCTTTTGCTGAGCCAATCACTTAGTGAGGGGTGGGGCTATCCCTTGAACTATCAGACCCACTTCTAGGGTTGACAGGGAGTCAGGTGCCTTGAGTCCCACTGGGGGAGTGTTTACCTGGCTCAGGGATTATGATAGGATGGAGGAAGTGGGGCAGGGATGCTGGGTAGGCCACACCCACTCCCTCATCTCCTCAGGGCATTCCCTCAACAGCTTGTCTGCAAATCCAGTTTATATGTGTCACCTTATACTAAGTCAGCCCGAGAAGCTGGGGGCTCTGCTGACCTTCAGAGTCATTTTAAACAGCCACTGTGACACTCATTAGATAGTAAGAATCTCAGATAACTTTATAGCACTTTTGAGCTGCTGTACACCCTCCTGTCTGATTCTTCATGACCTCCTTAGTTCTCTGAAATAGGGACAATGAAAAGTATCAGGTTCAAGGTCAGTGGCTGAGCCCTGGGCTCTATTATTCAATTTTTTCCCTTCCTTCGTTCCTTCCTTCCTTCCTTCATTCCTTCGTTCGTTCGTTCGTTCGTTCCTTCCTTCCTTCCTTCCTCCCTCTGTCCCTCCCTCCCTCCCTCCCTTCCTCCCTTCCTTCCTTTTTAAAGAGAAGGTCTCATGCATGCCAAGATGGCCTTGAACTTGCTATGTAGTCCAGGATAACCTTGAATTTATGATCCTTCTGCCTCCACCTCCCAAGGGCTGGGATTAGATGTGTGCAGCACCGTGTCTGTGTAGGCAGTGCTGGGGATGGAAGTCAAGACTTTGTGAGTGCTAGGCAAGCCTCTACCTACTGAGCCACACCCCAGACCAAGCCCTGGATTTCTGACCTTCACTCTGGGCTCTTTTCTCCCTGGCCTCCCGGCTACAATGAAGAGACAATGTAGGCCACCAAGTCACAGGAAGCATTGGTGACTGAGGGTGTGGGTGACCAGGGAACCAAAGAGATTTGACTGTGAGTAAACATGACCTCAAAACTGTGCTTAGGGTGACAACATCTAGGTATAACTCCTGATTTTCATGAGGATGTCCACAATTTCCATATTCAGTCACATGCTGCAAACAGAGCTACCAAATAGATGGCGGCCTATCTCATCTAAACCATGTGCAGGCTGTGCCATCCAGATTTGTGGAAGTCACTGTGACATTCAGTGACAGCACAGCCCAGTGATACATTTCCCAGAGCATGTCCCATCCTTAAGTGATGCATGACTGTGCTGTGAACTCAGGAAATGATGGAATAATAGCAATAATTACTGTGATGAAGTACAGGCATGCCCTTTCTGAGCTCAGGAGGGAAACAGTCTCCCTGAATCACTCTGCAGAAGCCATCTGATGGGCGCCTCCTTGCCTTTCACTGCAGGTTTTGCCTTGCTGACTTACAGGAGGAGAAAAAGATGGTCCCGATGAGGAACGCTTGGGATAAAAATGGGGTGCACTTGAATCTGTTACTTCTCTTGTTGCTGTGCCCAAACACCTGACAAAAGCAACTTAAGGAAAGGTTTATTCTGACTCACAGCTCGAGGGTATACAGCCCATCATGATGGGGACGGCATGGCCGCAGGAGTGTGAGGCTCTGGTCATACCATGTCAGGAAGCAGAGAGAGATGAACACTGGGGCTCAGCTTGCTTTCTCCTTTTTATTCAGACCAAGCCCCCAGCATATGGGATGGTGCTGCCCATATTCAGGGTGACTCTTCCCTGTTTGTTAAACTTTTCCAGGAACACCCTCACAGACACACCCACAAATGTACACCATGGTGATTCTACTTTAAGATTATTTTTAGTATTTTAAATTATGTGTATGTGTGGCTATATGTTGATTTGTGCATGTGAGGTCAGTTCCCAGTTGAGGCCAAAAAAGGAGGTGGGATCCCCTAGTGCTGGTGTTACAGGTGGTTATAGGTTCAGGAAACTGAACTCAGGTCCTTTGGAAGGGCAGCAAGTGCTCTTAACACTGAGCAACCCTCCACTCCCTGTACCCCCTCCATGGTGATTCTTAATCCAGCAAAGTTGATGCTGAGACTGAACTATCACAGTCCCCAAGCAAGGGCATATAATGCAACCATTAGCTTCCATGCTTACGGAGGATGCTGGATACTTCAGTGTGAGAACACACTCAGACACAACGTTAATGAAAGGAAGGCAGGTGATCTGTGAGAAAACCATCCCAGTTCTGTGTCAAAGGTAGCAGAAAAGAGTTAGCTGTAAAGAAGCCCAGCTAAGGGCACTGCCTCTGGGTAGTGGAGTTGTGAGGGGCTTCCTCCACCTTCCCCATGTTTTCTAAACTTTCCTGTCTTTCTACAAAGCTTTGGGAGGAAAAAAAAACAACAAAAAAACAGGGTCACATGTAGCCCAGGTTGGCCTCAAACTCAATATACAGCTGAGGATGACCTTCAATTTCTGATCCTCCTTCCTCCGCTTCCCCGAGTGCTGGGATTGAGGGTGTATGCCTCCGAGGGCCTGGTTTATACAGTGCTGTGGAAGGAACCCAGGACCTCATGCATTCTGGGCAAGCACTCTGTCAACTGAACTACCTCCCCAGACCCAGAGAATCATTTTTATAATAAGGGATGAAAACTTAAGGCAAAAGGCAAGGAAGTTGGGGAGTTCCAAAGGCAGGGCTTCCTGTTATGTGGACACATTCTGAATAAAGGGGAGGAAAAGTGGTTTGCAAAGTGGAACACTAGAAATCCCATCTTTAAGAAAAAGTTTTTAAATTACATTTAGTTATGTGTTGTATGTGCCATAGCTCATGTAGAAGTCAGAGGATACCTTGTAGAAGTTGGTTCTCTCCTACCATGTGGGTCCTGGGGATTGAACTCAGGTTAAT